AAAATGATCGTTCGTAATTTGTTAGCGACAGTAGTGGCGCAGATACTGAAATGGGAACGCAATATCGAGGCAAGGCATCTGCATTTTTTGTTTGTGTCCAAACTTGTGCCTTAGATACGAGAACATAGGCTATCGAGGTACAACGGAATATTGTTTCAGCATCAAAGGCATCGAAAAATAATATAAAACGATGGTTATATGCCGTACCGTACAACACTCTATCGTCAACCTTGAAATGAGTCCTATATGTATTTGAAATATCTTCACGAGTGAGGGCAAGGATTTACATTTCACACTGTTACGCTAGACTACTAACCAAGATTAATTGAATCTTTCAAATAAAACCGAATTTCTATTTACTTGCACAATTAACATGTGATTTTATCTGATTAGAACATACATTCTTCGGTGAATTCCCGAGTTTTATGTAATAATAATATCCTACACAGAATTGAGCATAATTTTATTCGAATAATACATATACATACATATATGTATTAAAATACAGCAATGTCTAAGATCGTCATCCTGAGCTTTAAACAGGTAAAGAGATTAAATAATTGCTTACCAAGTATCTACTCATTCAAGAAGAAATATTATTTTATTATAGACATTGGAATTTCTAAGTTTAATTTATTAAAAATAGCAAATACCTTCTTTTATCTTTCATTCGTTATTCGAATGAATTATCTAGATAATAAATTGAAAATAATAAACTGTAATCCTACACAATAAGGTTAAAATTCCTGGAACATTTCTCGTACAAGGGAATGCGGTTCCCCTTCACCTTTGTGCCATTATTTATTAAATAACCTGGGTTGAATAGTTGATGCATATTGCACGTCCGTCAGATCAAAGATGGAGACAACCAGTCGCTTGTTCTCTACCAGTTGTCCGTCTATCCATCCGATCAATACGCCGCGTGTTGAATTAAAACTTAAAACCGATCATTCGCGCAAAATCCCCCAGCAACACTGAAATGCTTCTTCGACGTAACCGAAGAACATTCTGCCGATCTTTCAGTCAATTTAACATTGAATCAGGATCAAAGAAGAAATTGTTACAATGATATAACATAGTTACATACATCCACTGCGTGTCACAACTATAAAACCACCCTAAAATTTTCAATCCTCATGTATTGTAGTTAAAATAAAAACATACCATTTTTGGGGGGGAATATAATCTATGCTTTTCTAGAGAAGCATTATTTCTCAACACGATTTCAAACATAGCATAGTTGGTTCGTTTTTATTTCAAATGCAATATATAAAAATTAACAATTTTTGTGGTTTTATAGTTATGCCACGCAATATATATATTTAAGCATTATTAAATACAAATAATTATCTTCGAAATAACTTTTATTAATGACGTCAAATTAATCTGCTAGAAGAAAAATTAATAAATCACAAGGTACAAAATTTAATATAATATGTAGAAATAATCAATCTAATATATAATAGGCTTCAAATGCTTAAATTAATAACAAAGAAGGAATTTCAAGGCCTCGATTCTAGAACGATCCATCGTTCGATCTCCCAGGCTCTTCTCCGATGTATGCAGGTTCACATCAGGGAGGCTCGATCATCAAGGTAACGACATCGATGTTAATCTAGACAGTCGTGGACGCCTACCGCCTGGGGTCCATCGAGTTGATTTCCCATTGTCCACTAAAATATCGCGGCACGAATACCGCGGGGATTAACATTGCCGATGACTGTTGATTCACGACACGGGGCAGGTCGAGCAGTCAGCATATATTAACCTTTTCGCCGCATGGCAGAAGAGAGACCGCCGCCACCGCGTAGAATAACCGTCCGTCAGCCCCGAATGGGAAGAAGAGCTCCGGTACACACGGATCGCCACTTTCCCTTTTCGTGGGTGGAACAACAGGGCGGCTGAGATCATCGATCGCCACGGCGGCGGGATCCTAGCCGGAGCAGGATACTACGGTCGTGCCACTTCGGGACGGAGGCGTTTCGGGCCACGTGCGCGTTAAGGCGGGTATCCACTTGTTGCGTATCCATCGTATTATCGTTGCTTCCGTGTCAACAATACGATACAGTGCAACGGTACGTGAATTCTCCCCTGTCATCACTGCGTATATAGGGATCGGATCAAGTACAATATGTATCTACGAATCGGAGTCAATTGCGATAACAAAGTTTCATTTCACAGGAGTCGTTTAACTAGTCAAAAACAATAAAGTTTCGATTAGTACACTGGCTGAAATTTCTATAAGGTCACCATGTTTTTTGATGAATTATAATTATTCCGTACCAATGAAAAATTCGTGTTTGGTAGCATTTTTGGTATTTCAACAGAACACAAACTGCGAAATTTCTATATAGACATTGGCTTTTTACATAAGAAAAGTTGAAATTAAGAATAGTTTTTCATTATTTCTATGTTAATACTTACTTTCTATATTATACTCGACCGGCAGACTCGCGCTGTGATTTGTCGGGACTTTTCGTTAATATCTCGTTAACAAAGCCTCAGATAACATTTTTGCTAAGGAAAAACTTGTTTCAAATCACTGCACGAGTGACCCATTTTAGAGACCTACAACACTTTTGTTACACCGTATATAAACGCCCCAGAAAATTTTAATATCGATTGAATCGATGAGAGTTGGCACCTACGTTTTTGGATTTGGATAAGAGTCCACCCGTGTTACTATCCAGTAAAAACGAATCAAAATCATAGAGGGTCATACTTGTATAACGTAACGGCTATACGATAGTAGGATACATAACAATTATTGGATACCCGCCTTTAGACGGGAACGTTTTCAAAAACAAACGGATACGCGGTGCACCGATGTACCCACCGTGCCCCCGTATATTATTCATGGGTGAAACTACAAATGGACACGATTGATTTCTCGAACACGTCGCAGACGAGACGTAGATGGTGAACAATTTGTTCGAGCCGTCGACCACGATGGAATAACGATGCGTAGAGTTGAAGAAAAAAAAAGTAGATCAACACCGAATTCGAAGAAAGTTCGGTCGTAGGATTCTAAAAGAAACATAGGATAACCTCGATTGTTTTAAGGCGCCGTGCGTCAACGCGACAGCTGTAATTTTTTAGAAATCTGCACTTGCGGGCCTTCCATTGCGAATATATCCGCCCCAAATCAATTAAACAAAACTTATTCTTTTTGTTCAAATGTTAAGTAAAATGTTCCAACAGCTTCGAAAAAAAATCCCAGCACTTACGTTAAGATTGTAGCATATCTTTATTTAAACATTTTACATGTTGTTTCAAACAATAATAAATTCTTTCTTTAGTATGATTTCGTCATCACAGCATTGATTCTTGTATACACAAGTACATGTATTTCTTTGTTTTTATATGAATCAGACTTCCAGTTTAATAATAACTTTTTTTGATGCAGAATTCTTTATACGTGAAATTTTTATTAAATAAAATAAATAAAATGGCCAATATTAGGGATTTTGGTACTAATTGGGACATTTACCTTAGGTGTACTAATAAATAATTGTATTAAGGTAAATCTAATGTTTACTTTTGGAGAAATCGAAAACCTACTACAGCTTGAGTAATATACATTCTAGTTCCCCAATAATCTCGACCGCTTTTAACACGACTGCCCCAGTGAAAAAGGACATACGTAGTCAGACAGATCTTATTTCGTATTTTCCGCCATAAATCGTCGAAAATATATGCGTTTAGTCAATGGAGGCTGTTGGTCTTGTTTTAAATTATACTGGACGTTCAAAATTCGACTAGTGTTTACCAATTCATAATTTTCTCAGTCTAATATTTGATATCTTAATTTTTGTACTACAATTATGTAATAATTTTTGTATTTCACTTTCTATAAGATTTATTATTACCAGATAAATAATGATACTCTATTGTCATTTATAAGTAGAAATATTTGATGCTCTAATTCATAACTAAATCTGCAAAGCCTCGGAAATTCTACGAATTTAAATAAGATAGCTCTGTTGTGTTCGTCCTATACACTCTGTACCTTTTTTCCCGATAAAATTGATTCTAGTTGCTTTGCGCCTCCTTTCACGTATACATAAATCATTGTATTTTAACTACGTTAATGAAATGGAGGATTACAGATGTACGGGGCACCATTAATCTGATTGAATGGATCTGTTGACAGAACTCGTGAAGAATGAAGTGTCGATTCACCCGTTCTTAAAGTGGGTGGAACCGCGACGCAGCTAATCATTAATCACGCGTCGCGATTATAGCTCGATCGTGTTAAACGTTCATTAATATGTACACCTTCGCTTAACTAACTACCTTAGCTTACTTTAAACTACCTTAAAAAGTGTACACTGATCCGAAGAAATTTTCCTCACAGTATCTTGCCATTTATAATATGTTATAAATCTCTGTTGTGTTACATTAATTAATACTATACTGTATTTCTTAATATTATGATAAATGTGAATTGTTACTGCAAAATAATTTAAAAACAATATTAGTGTCCATAAATTTGAGGTCACTACTTTTCATCTTATTCTGCATTCGTTATTATAAAAAAATAATTATTATTGAAAGCTTAATTATGTATTTCTTATTGAAGCCATTACCAAGTATACATGCAATAGATGAAATATTCAAACGACAGGTGTCCATGTTCGTAAAATAGGTTATCTATAATTTCTGTCTTCCTTTAATTGAAACGCCCGAAACACGTGTATTCGTCACGGTAACAAGTGGAAACGGAATGGAATGAACAGAGGCGCTAACCAAGTCCTACTCAATTGCACAATTGAACCATTTTCAAAGTTGATCTTCTCGAAAACGACGTGTGAATTGGAAAAATTTTATTCTATATTAACGACTTATTTTTTCACATGTACTAATATTTTCAATAAAAATTGAATCACAAACATATTACCAGGATACTTTCATCAGTACATCTCACATTGCTGAGAATGCTATTACTTTGAACCTTTCTTTGTCGAAGAAAGCAAAGTAACATCAGCGAATCAGACAAAATGGCGTCTGGGGTAAAGAAGTGAGGTCGATTAATCTTCTTCTTCTGCTTTCCTCAAAGACCTATCGACAGATGGTTCGTTTCAATCGTTCGGTAATTCAAAGAGAGAACCGAAAGAAGAAACAGAAATAGACAAGATCGTACTGATAACGGTGAAGAAAGTATCTAAACGTTATTCACAAGTTCGGACGTTCGATTACGAAACGTTTATAGTGAGAGTCAAAAGTGAGTGTACACCTTACAAAGGTGAGATTCGTGTAATATTTCAGAAGCATCCTACTATTGTAAGATCATGGCAGTCATACAGTTGGATATGATTTTCTTAACACTGTCGGGATGAATAGACAGCAAAACAATTCGAGAAAAAGAAATTCGAAACTATAACCAAAAAATTTTGTAAATATCATTAAACATGGTGAATAAACTATTATGGTTTGAGGTTGCATGGCAACCTCTGGTGTAGGTCGGTTGGTTTTTATTCATACTACACATATACACATTAGATTCTAAATTGAGAGAAATAAATACGAATGAATCCCATACTTTGAAAGCGTACACTCACTTTTAACACTCACTGTACGTTGCTCCCCGCGGAAGAGTGCGCGACCTTTAGTTTTAATTGCCCTAAATGGCGACTGCGAACGAAAAAGCTTCCTTTCGCGCCGAGGAATAACTCAGAGATTCCTCGGGCTGACTTTTACGGGGCCCCTGACATGGAAAGATTAAAAGCCGTGTCAGCGTCGTCTGTGCTACAAAAACTCGGACACTGTTCACTTACGCTAATATGGCGATGGTTATTTATAGAGAGTAGCCAAGTGGAATTGATGGCCGTACATGTAATCTCGGGTTCTCTTGTTGTTCTTTAGCTACGTAATATTAAAGCACTCTTGGGACTCTTGACGATGAGAAACCGAAGTACTAAATGTATATTATGGATCAAAGGACTCGGGATGCTTTGAAAAGGAAATGTAACATGAAATATTGTCACGAGGAACATTTGTGTGGATTTCTTAAGTGGATGATGTTCGTCGATGAAGTTATTTGTGGAGATTTTTTGAAGTCTTTGAAGGATAACAAGATTTTTGTAACTTAGTGCTTTCTATATTATTATTGAAGAAGTTTTAAACTCTCAGGGTGTATAATGTTATTTATTTTATCAGATTATTTACAGCAATTTATAAAATTTAGAAGATTTGTTTAATTTGTAATATCACGATATAGTATATTTTAGAAAAATTGTAACAAGCCTGCCTAATTCGTTGGTCACTTTCAACTTTCGCTTGTGACTAACTATTGTTATTCGAATTTAGGAAAGTTAGAATTGAAATGCAATACGTTATTCATAAGACTGCCGTGAGATTCATGAAAAAGACAGGATAATCTGACATAGGTAAATTTATGATAGTTATCAATTTTTATGGTACGTGATCATATTGGCATATTGCTACATGAACGACGAGAAAACATAAGTGCAATAAGTTTCGGAACAGATCGTGGTCGATCGCGTGAATACAGGCAAGCAACATTGACTGAGCGGTTGACTTGACATTTAAAGTGACATGCTATGTTGTTAGTGAATCGTCGCTAAGCTTTTAAAAGGTGAACAAGATTAGACCAGGTAAAGTCACCTAGCCAAAGAACAAATTGGGATACCATGTTGGCTAATTTGCTATGTAATTGACGAGTTACATAATGCTGGCTGAATGATTTAGGATGCATATATACCATAACAACAAAATAAAATGATTTTATTTCCCGGCAATAACATATGACAGATACATTTTTCTATTTACCATTCAATTATTTATATAACAACGAAAGATTTTATTCGTATTGTGTTATATAGAATAATTAACTTCCTTATATATTTTCTTGTAAGTTTCTAGTTACTTGAAAAACTGAAGTATTTTGGAACACTAAACAAAGATTGATGATTTTTTCAAGAAAATAAAGTATCTAATCAAAAAATGACTAATTAAACGTTCGTGTGCAATAGGTGATTGCCACATCTCTGTTGCAAGGCACTCAGCAGCAAGGAAGCAGGCAGAGTAGAGAAGTGATATTGAACATCAGTGATGATCAAAAAACCCAATATCTAAATCAAGACTTCTACTCGAGTAAGTGATGATGGTCTGACATGTAAATACACAAGAATGTAGTTAATAGTCATTATTTTTTCGAAAGATACTCAAAACAATTTCTTTACAGATGCATACAATTATGGTTACGAAATCAGTCCAAACGGGCAGTTCCACCATGAAGTACGTGGACCAGACGACATAACATACGGTTGCTATGGCTACATAGACCCGTTCGGAAAACTGAAGACCACATTTTATGTAAGCGACGGTTGGGGTTACCGAGTCGTCCAACCAGGAAAAGCAATTGAAATATTTTTACACGAACACGAGCATCATCAGCATGACGACTCGGAGCAACATGGCCCCGAACATCATGATCACCATGAACATCACGGTGTGATAACAGAATGGAAGGACTTGTATTTCCCAGAAATATGTAGACAATTCGACGGAACAAATGATAGGCCAATTACAGTTCCGAGTCCAGGCGAAAGTAAGTATAACAAACATTATTATATAAAGGGAATTACAAAAGTACACAAACATACAAACATGTTCTCATACAGAACCAGGCATAAACGGTTCAAGCAGTGGTGGAACACCAATCCAACCAGGAAAGCCACAACCTGGTTATCCAGGAATACCACCACAACCCGGATACCCTGGTACACAAGGGCATCCCGGAACACCTGGCACCCCTGCAACGCCAGGAAGACCTGGCCAGCCAGGATACCCAGGAACACCTGGAGAACCACCACAACCCGGATATCCTGGTACACCTGGCCACCCTGGAACGCCAGGAAAACCTGGCCAGCCTGGATACCCGGGAACACCACCACAACCCGGACATCCAGGACACCCCGGAACACCTGGTGTACCACCACAGCCAGGATACCCTGGAACACCTGGCACCCCTGGAACGCCAGGAAGACCTGGCCAGCCTGGACACCCGGGAACGCCACCACAACCCGGACATCCAGGTACCCCTGGCCACCCCGGAACACCTGGCACACCACCGCAACCCGGATATCCTGGTATACCTGGCCACCCTGGAACACCTGGGACACCTGGCAAACCGCCACAACCTGGATATCCTGGTACTCCTGGACACCCCGGAACACCTGGCACACCTGGCAAACCACCACAACCCGGATATCCCGGTACTCCTGCACACCCCGGAACACCTGGCACACCTGGAAAGCCAGGAGGACCTGGTCAGCCTGGATACCCAGGAACACCTGGCAAACCACCACAACCTGGATATCCTGGTACTCCAGGACACCCCGGGACACCCGAAACACCTGGAAAACCACCACAACCCGGATATCCTGGTACTCCTGGACACCCAGGAACACCCGGCACCCCTGGAACGCCAGGAAGACCTGGCCAGCCAGGGCACCCGGGAACGCCACCACAACCTGGATATCCTGGTACTCCTGGACACCCCGAGACACCTGGCACACCACCACGGCCAGGATATCCTGGAACTCCAGGACACCCCGGAACACCTGGCACCCCTGGAACGCCGGGAGGACCTGGTCAGCCTGGACACCCCGGAACACCCGGAATACCTGGCACACCGCCGCATCCCGGATATCCTGGGACTCCAGGACACCCCGGGACACCTGGCACACCTGGCACACCACCACAGCCAGGATATCCTGGTACGCCTGGACAGCCTGGCCATCCCGGCAGCCCTGGAACACCAGGAGGGCCTGGTCAACCTGGATACCCAGGAACACCTGGCACACCTGGCAAACCACCACAGCCAGGATATCCTGGGACTCCAGGACACCCCGGGACACCTGGCACACCTGGCACACCACCACAGCCAGGATATCCCGGTACTCCTGGACACCCCGGAACACCTGGTACACCTGGAACGCCAGGAGGACCTGGTCAGCCGGGATACCCAGGAACACCTGGCACACCTGGCAAACCACCACAGCCAGGATATCCTGGCACACCACCACAACCCGGATATCCTGGTACTCCTGGACACCCCGGAACACCCGGCACCCCTGGAACGCCAGGAGGACCTGGTCAGCCGGGATACCCTGGAACACCTGGCACACCTGGCAAACCACCACAACCTGGATATCCTGGTACTCCAGGACACCCCGGGAAACCTGGAACACCTGGCAAACCACCACAACCCGGATATCCCGGTACTCCTGGACACCCCGGAACACCCGGCACACCTGGAACGCCAGGAACACCTGGCAAACCACCACAACCCGGATATCCCGGTACTCCAGGACACCCCGGAACACCTGGTAGACCTGGAACGCCTGGTATACCACCACAGCCTGGATATCCGGGAATACCAGGAGAACCTGGTCATCCTGGTACCCCTGGAACACCAGGAAGCCCTGGTCAGCCTGGTCACCCGGGAACGCCACCACAGCCTGGATATCCTGGTACTCCTGGACACCCCGGATATCCTGGTACTCCTGGACACCCCGGGACACCTGGAACACCTGGCAAACCACCACAACCCGGATATCCCGGTACTCCAGAACACCCCGGAACACCCGGCACACCTGGAACGCCAGGAGGACATGGTCAGCCGGGATACCCTGGAACACCTGGCACACCTGGCAAACCACCACAACCTGGATATCCTGGTACTCCAGGACACCCCGGGAAACCTGGAACACCTGGCAAACCACCACAACCCGGATATCCCGGTACTCCTGGACACCCCGGAACACCCGGCACACCTGGAACGCCAGGAACACCTGGCAAACCACCACAACCCGGATATCCCGGTACTCCAGGACACCCCGGAACACCTGGTAGACCTGGAACGCCTGGTATACCACCACAGCCTGGATATCCGGGAATACCAGGAAAACCTGGTCATCCTGGTACCCCTGGAACGCCAGGAAGCCCTGGTCAGCCTGGTCACCCGGGAACGCCACCACAGCCTGGATATCCTGGTACTCCTGGACACCCCGGGACACCTGGCACACCACCACAACCCGGATATCCTGGTACTCCTGGACACCCCGGGACACCTGGCACACCTGGCACACCACCACAACCCGGATATCCTGGTACTCCTGGACACCCCGGAACACCCGGCACACCTGGAACGCCAGGAGGACCTGGTCAGCCGGGATACCCAGGAATACCTGGCACACCTGGCAAACCACCACAACCTGGATATCCTGGTACTCCAGGACACCCCGGGAAACCTGGCACACCTGGCACACCACCACAACCCGGATATCCTGGTACTCCTGGACACCCCGGAACACCCGGCACACCTGGAACGCCAGGAGGACCTGGTCAGCCTGGATACCCGGGAACACCTGGCACACCACCGCAACCCGGATATCCCGGTACTCCAGGACACCCCGGAACACCTGGTACACCTGGAACGCCTGGTATACCACCACAGCCTGGATATCCGGGAACACCAGGACAACCTGGTCATCCTGGAACCCCTGGAACGCCAGGAAGCCCTGGTCAGCCTGGTCACCCGGGAACGCCACCACAGCCTGGATATCCTGGTACTCCTGGACACCCCGGAACACCTGGCACACCTGGCAAACCACCACAGCCAGGATATCCTGGTACACCAGGGCACCCCGGAACACCAGGCACCCCTGGAACACCAGGAAGGCCTGGCGAGCCAGGACACCCTGGAACTCCACCACAACCAGGATATCCTGGTACACCTGGCCACCCTGGAACACCTGGGACACCTGGCACCCCTGGTGTACCATCTCAGCCTGGATTTCCTGGAACACCAGGAGGACCTGAATATCCTGGAACTCCTGGCCACCCTGGAAGGCCTGGTAAACCTGGACATCCTGGTAGGCCTGGGCTGCCTGGCCATCCCGGTATCCCTGGAACTCCACCACAACCTGGATATCCTGGTACACCGGGCCACCCAGGAACACCTGGAACACCCGGCACACCTGGTGTGCCACCGCAGCCTGGATATCCCGGAACGCCTGGACATCCCGGTGGTCCTGGAACACCAGGAACTCCTGGTCAGCCCGGATACCCGGGGACACCTGGTACACCACCACAGCCTGGATATCCTGGAGCGCCTGGACAGCCTGGTCATCCCGGCAGCCCTGGAACTCCACCACAACCTGGATATCCTGGTACACCTGGCCACCCAGGAACACCTGGAACACCCGGCACACCTGGTGTGCCACCGCAGCCTGGATATCCCGGAACGCCTGGACATCCTGGTAGTCCTGGAACACCAGGAACTCCTGGTCAGCCCGGATACCCGGGGACACCTGGTACACCACCACAGCCTGGATATCCTGGAGCGCCTGGACAGCCTGGTCATCCCGGCAGCCCTGGAACTCCACCACAACCTGGATATCCTGGTACACCTGGCCACCCAGGAACACCTGGAACACCCGGCACACCTGGTGTGCCACCGCAGCCTGGATATCCCGGAACGCCTGGACATCCTGGTGGTCCTGGAACACCAGGAACTCCTGGTCAGCCCGGATACCCGGGGACACCTGGTACACCACCACAGCCTGGATATCCTGGAGCGCCTGGACAGCCTGGTCATCCCGGGAGCCCTGGGACTACACCGCAGCCTGGATATCCCGGAACGCCTGGACATCCTGGTGGTCCTGGAACCCCTGGAACACCAGGGACACCTGGTCAGCCTGGATACCCTGGAACGCCTGGACAGCCTGGCCATCCCGGTACTCCAGGCATACCAGGTAAACCTAGTAAGCCTGGGAAACCTGGCAAACCCGGAAAACCTGGCCATCATGGTAAGCCTGGAAGTGAAACGTATCCACCGGAAGGTATACCTGGAACGGACGAATTACCGGGCACACCGCCATATCCGCCACAACCTGGATATCCCGGATCTCCAGGCAGACCTGGCAGACCCAGTAAACCTGGAAAGCCTGGACATCATGGGCAGCCTGGATCACCTGGCACACCGGGAACACCAGGTATTCCTGGCATTCCAGGAACGCCTGGAACACCAGGGACCCCCCCACATCCTGGATACCCTGGAACTCCTGGTACTCCTGGTATTCCAGGAACGCCTGGAACACCAGGAACCCCCCCACATCCTGGATACCCTGGAACTCCTGGTAGTCCAGGATCACCAGGCTCGCCGGGTACGCCAGGTATTCCTGGCATTCCAGGAACGCCTGGAACACCAGGGACCCCCCCACATCCTGGATACCCTGGAACTCCTGGTACTCCTGGTATTCCAGGAACCCCTCCATACCCTGGATACCCAGGAACTCCTGGTACACCTGGCATTCCAGGAACGCCTGGAACCCCCCCACATCCTGGATACCCTGGAACTCCCGGTATTCCTGGTACACCTGGCATTCCAGGAACCCCTCCACACCCTGGATACCCAGGAACTCCTGGTACACCTGGCATTCCAGGAACGCCTGGAACCCCTCCCCATCCCGGATACCCTGGAACTCCTGGTAGTCCAGGATCACCAGGCTCGTGCATTCCTGGCACTCCTGGCATACCGCCACGACCCGGACACCATGGCAAGCCGGGCAAGCCAGGAAAACCCGGTAGACCTGGAGAACCGGATACACCTGGCACACCGCCTTATCCACCCCAGCCAGGATATCCAGGTCCTCCTGGATACCCAGGAACTCCAGGTATACCAGGAACCCCAGGAACACCTGGAACGCCGCCTCATCCCGGATATCCAGGAACACCAGGTACGCCGGGAACGCCAGGAATACCTGGAACACCAGCACAACCTGGACATCCTGGAACTCCTGGAACTCCTGGAACACCTGGTATACCACCGCAACCTGGATATCCTGGCGTACCTGGTACGCCTGGAAGACCAGGTAAGCCCGGAGAGCCGGGTACACCCGGTACTCCGCCTTATCCACCTCAACCAGGATATCCAGGAATACCAACTACTCCTGGATCACCCGGAACACCTGGAATTCCTGGAACGCCCGGATCACCTGGATTCCCTGGTAAACCAGGGAAGCCTGGTCATGGACATCCTGGAACATCTAAACCAGGTACGTAACATACATCCATGATGTATGTTTCTATATAAAAACGTAATTGTGAATTTATGCAATAACTTATCAATTACGCATGATCTATTCATTTAGATATTTACGTACATATTTTATTAAAATTACAGATCACGATCAGCATCCTCCGTATCCTGGATATCCCACTGATCCCCAAGGTCCAATTGGTGGTGACGGTGGTGTTGGGCCTGATGGTCCAAACGGTCCATGGCCCAATGGTCCCGACGGCCCCGAAGGTCCGGGTGGTCCCGAAGGTCCTGGAGGACCTGTGGGTGGTATTGGTGGCATCGGCGGTGTAGGCGGCGACGGTGGCGTAGGACCTGACGGTCCAGACGGTCCGTGGCCAACAGGTTCACCTGGTCCCGACGGACCATGGCCTGGAGATCCAGATTATGTACCCGGTGGAAAACCAACATCGAGGCCTCGATACGAAGGCCCGATCAAACTTCAATATCCACTGAAATATCACGAGCCTACGACACCGACATCCGTACGCGAACCATTCTACGGAGACTACGGAGAGAAACAAGTGGAACGATTAACTTCTAGTTCCCAGTTCGACTCGAACCATAGAAAAAGTGGCACGTTCGATAGAAATTACGACAAGAGCGTCGAATCGACTGCGTTCGGGTACCCGATCAAAATAAGCAGTCCCTTCGGTACAAAAGACACGCGCTATCAAACCGAATACTATCAGGGACAAGTGAATCAGAACGCAGACACGATCAACTCTCTGCTCCAGCGGAAAGAATCACGAAAGTTCACGGACGAAGAAACCGACAACGTCTACACAAGCGTTACGAAAACTGCACCACAACGAATACCACAAACCACTCGAAACGAAGTGAAAACATCCAGCAACGCGAAGTATACCGACCAAGAGCAATACGAGCAAGCCAACCGGGGTCATCGTAAATTCTCCCAACAGTTCGCGAATGTGAATCAACCTGACCTAGACCATCCAATTGTTCAGATAGAGACAAACAGCGCCGCGTATCAAAGAGGCGAGGCCCAGGCGAACGTAAAGTATCAATCGACCGGCGGAGGTAACGCGGCGGCATTCATCAAACAGGTAAACGAATTGTCTGAAATCGAATCGTTAGACCCTGGACCAGATATCACCGCTATCGGGGTACAACCCCCGAGCAACAATAAGCCCTACCAGCAATCAATAGGGCCAGACCCAAAAACCTGTCCCTGCTACCTTGTCGAACCGGGCAATGACACCGTTGCTACAACCAGCACGACATCCGCTCCTTTAATCGGTCAGCTTGGCTTCATTCCCGTGGTGTTCGTACCCTATTGTCCGGGCGACGAGACGGACAGCCAACACATGAAGGACATGTTCCCGTCCGCCATGCCTGTACCGTACACGTGCAACGCGTGCGGCGCCGCCCAAACCGGGCGGATCGAGACGAGGCTTCTCAGCCTGAATCAGCTCGGGAACGTCGAGAACCTACGGGAGGCGTTGCGCCAAGCGAAACTTGGATTTTTGAATGTTTCAGCCCGGAATAATCGTAACGAGAGGCGACGAGCGAAGAGCCGGGACGACACGCGACGACGAGTGTAATTGCAACGATCCAGGGATCGGTCGCGACACGGTCGTGAGGAAATACGTCCGTTTACAGACGAGAAGTCCGTGACCGAGATAAGGTGCCTGCCCGTCTATCAGCTGCTGGACAGCTGACGGATGGCCAAAGAGAACGTGCGATGACCGAGAAAGTGGGAGAATGTGTCTAGGATAATCGTGGTCCACCGTTGATATTTCGCCGGTTCCTTTGTCTGACACAGAGTTGACCTAACCCAGACCCCAAAACTTCTACGAAACTTTGGAGATTTCATGCCTAAAGGTAGCGACCCATGGCAATTCTGGTCCAACAGGGAACCTAGATTTCTATTTTGAATTTTCTAATATTCGCACGGTTGGCTATGATTATCCGAAGGTAGTGTACCAACAGGCGTAACAGTCTCTGTCCTATCTTCTTTCCCTGCGTTTAACTTCCATCGGAGAGATTTATGATGATTAAACGTTCTGATTTTCCGTGTAATTCTGATTTACCGATGCAATTCGGGTCGAAATTGGTTGAAAGCTTCTGATATTAATTCCGCAGTTGCTAAATGCAGTATGTAACTTTGTATTCCCGAATTTCATTTTTGAATCCTTCGGTATCAAATACGTCATAGGTAGACCGCGGATATTTATGCAAATATAGAATTCTATGATAATATTTATTTACTATGTCGAGGGTTCTAGTGAATTCGAAATGGAAAAGAAGACCCAACAATAAAATCTCCTGAAACCTTTCAGTATAAACAATGATTGGAATCTTTTCGATATTCTATAAATGCATAAAATCTTCAGTCTGGTCCGTAGATAAACGGAGAACAAACTTCAATGTATCTAAATATCTTAATAATCTGCAAAGACCAACCAAGTGACTAGAAGAGCTAACACAGGGAAAATTGATGATCCTCCTTTCGCTGAATCATGTTCTCGGAATAGCCTTCGATTTCTGTCGATGGTAATAATTCGAGAACTTTCACGATTCTTCTTCTTAGTTATAACACGACCGTGAATCTGTACTCCATTAATTTCATTATCATCGAGCGATATTTAATTTCAAGAAAAAAGACGTCTTCACCGTGACACGCGTTGATAAAGTCGCGTCGACGGACACGTGCATTCTACGCGCGCCGTTTAAAAAAGTTTTTGTTTTTTTTTTTCCTTTCGATTTAAATTATCTGAACACCGCGTTACACGAATGCACGCATTTATACACGTCCTCATCCTCTTCGCGTGCCCTTGAGATTAAATATTCATCGTGCGATCGTCGATACGGTGCATCATAACTCGTATCGAACACGTACGGAAAATGTCGGTATTCGAGGCGATCACGGGATCCCTTTCGAAACTCCGAAGCGCAAAAAAGTTCGAGGAAGTATTCCGCATAAATCACGCGCAATCGATCACGATTTATGTACAGCACTGAGTGAGAGTGAAACGGGGGCCGTGTTACGAGTTGTACGTGCTCGATACGTGTTTTCTTCTTCATTCTTCTACTGTTTTTTCTCTTCTTTTTTTTTTTTTTAACGGAACGATATTATATTTTGTACATTGGATACAAGCTATGTAATATGTATCTTCTTATAGCGTAGGCGATCGAGGAATTTTCAATAAATTATACATAATTGTACATATTAATAGAGCGTTCATCCAGTGTTTCTTTACGAGCATCGATCATGTATTTTTAATACATAAAACTAATCACGAAATACATCGTTTGTTGTTCTTTTTTTTTTTATCTGTCGTGTTAGAGAATTATTCTGTCGTTCTCTCGACGCAAAAGATACGAAACCACACGAGATCGCGTCAAGTTGACGTATTTCATTGTTATTTCAATTTCGCTGAAAATTGATGTAGAGATGGATGTTTCGTGTTTAACAAGCTTATCGTGTACAGTAACAGAATGTCATTTTTCGAGAGACATAAATCCTCCAGTCGATGCAATTAATGTAAACATGCAAATATCGACATGGTGCGAACGATGTATATTTATTCGTTGACACGTTTATAATTTATCCCTCAGGATTTCATTTAGAAATATACGGTAAGTACTGTAAAAAATCCCCAGGAATCGTAGGAAAATAATAAAGAACTTCTCACGAGGGCACAGTAAAAAATACTCCTGTTAACAAATTATTAGAAAAACAACTCAATGTTAGCTACATTTGTCTATTTAGAAACAGTTGTTTTCTGAGTGTTCGTCATATTGTTGAGAAACGTTTTACTGGTTCGTGAAAGAGATTTTGACAATTTTTCATATCAATTTTCGACAAATCTTTTTTCCTCCGACTTTTATTTTTATGGATATGCTCTGACACCAAAAAGTAATCACAACTCCCAAATCGCGATCGTTCAAGTTTCTAGAGGCGAAACTAACAAGTAAAACAAAAAAAAACTTGCAAATTCTTTTCAGTTGTGCACCTGAGATTGCAAAAATATTTTGAAAATTGAAATTCACTTACTTTTACTCATTAGAAATTCTTGAAGTGTTCAGAAGCCTTCAGAAGAAAATTAAAAAGCCGAAAATCAATTTTTCAATTATTTTTCTTACACTGCCCCCTTAAACGTAAAGTCTGATTCGTCGTTCAAACGTTATTTATTATTATCGAGAATATATATGTACATTACACGAGGCTATTAATAACAAATTAAAACTTAAAACCTACGGAATTAATGTGATTCAATAAACGAAACAAATGAACGCTCGAGTGTCGCATAAACAGAGTTAATCAGTATCCATGGATACTGCTGTAATGCTTTGCACCCTATTTGTCATGCCGACGGAAAGTACCGCAAATACGTTTAACCTACTAACTGCATTTATCCAGTACAGTGGACGCTTACTTTATCACTTTAATGACAATATTCGGAACATTTCTTGACGATCGGCAGTACGAACCTTCTTTAAATGACATCCAAACATTAGAAAAACTATCACTGTGACTACTAATACCGTTATTTATCGTGAGCAAACACACTGTTTATAAAAGGAAAAATTTTTAAATATAAAAATATTTTTAAAAATTTGTTAAATAGTCTTAAAATGATTATTGTTCCTTGATTTGATAGAAAAAATTTGTATACAACATACTTAAAAAATACAGTGAGCGGGTTAACACGTTTAATATTTGCAGTTCAATCTCGAAAAAAATGAACTAAGAATAACCCCTGTACCCCGACGGATAACTGTAACTTCCGTAGCTGGTGCCGTGATAGTTAGTGTAAGGGTCGTAGTTGCTCCTCGTGTTGTACGTCGATCCGTAGTTCGATCCGCCGTAACCACCGTAACCTGATCCGTACCCATAACCATCGTACCCGCCGTACCGTCCGTAACCACCGCGTCCATAACCAACGTTGCTGTATCCATCATCGTAACCCGACCCGTAACTTCCGGTACCGTACGTACCGTAGCCGCCTAACCCGTTCCCGTAACCGCCGTATCCACCGTAACCACCAGACCCGTAGCCTCCGTAACTGGGATTATATCCACCGTAATAGCCATACCTATGGAGAAACAATTACCAAAATTCGGTAAGATCGTTCCGATTCGCGAAGATCGAGACACTTGTCTGATTGTACAGAGTGATTTTCTTGATGTCTGCAGTTTTCAAAATTACTTTATCATCAATAAATCCCCAGAAGCAAAAGGAATTCCTGTACTTATCGCAATTGTACATTTACTCTAAAAGTTAAATATCAATATCAGCAAACTAGTATTTCAGTTTGACACAAAGAAAACGAATAATATTTCTGTTTGTTGAATCCATTTTGATATTCTCACCACGAGTCTTACACGATGTTGTAAGGCAAGGGGTTAACTATACAAATGTAAATTTTAAAGAAGCCTCTGCATAAAAATTTACATTCTTCGAGTTGTGCCCCCCATTATTAATGCCAAGCACCGATATGTATTCAAGATTTCGTGGCTACCACGATTGTATTCCTAGATCAATTGAGTCTATTGTTCCAGTTTGAATTGTCCGTTGAAATCTTACCCTACGTGGCCGCCTCCGATAATTCCTCCAAGTCCACTGCCCGGATAACCCCTGTACCCTGTATTCAGATATCCCGGGTTCAATCCAGTTCCTCGGTATCCTGCGCCGGGACCGTAACTCGAGCCGTAATAAGTTCCGTACGGCACGCCCCCACCATATCCTGGCTGGCCATACTCCTTGCTAATATGGAACGCTGGAACCAACGAAGCTTTTAAGGAAATCAAAAATTTCCAAAAAATATGTGTAGTTATGGTCAGAGATGGGCACAATTTTATTCGAATAATATATAATGAGAAGCAGCAATATCGAAGATCGTTATCTTGACCTTTAAACAGTTCATGAGATTAAATAATTGTTTCCAAAGTGTCTACCAATTCAAGAAGAAATATTATTTTATGATAAAAATTGCAATTACCACGTTCAGTCAAGTAAAAATTACGAAATATATGTTTTTCATCTTTTATTCGTTATTCGAAACTTTTTATCTAGATAATAAATTTGCCCATCTCTGGTTATTGTTCGCCTGCTGACGCGCTCCAATCGAAAGACACGGTTAAAAATTTTCACTTGTAACTGTACAGTAACTCAATTTATTGTTTCTTACTTTATTCGCAGACGAGCATATAGTTCAGGCAATCGTCGGTTATTGAATTTAAATATCCGCTGATTAGCGAACTATCTGTCGGAATAAGTCGATGATTCATGAATGTATCGTCATTTCCGCCATTAGGGCGCGAGCCGATGGAGGACGTGTCTATGTGTGAAAAAGCATTCTACCGTTCACCAGCATTTGCCAAGGTTTAAGTTATTACCTATTCTCTTGCATTACCGTGAAGCGTGAGACAGTAGGCTCGAGTCGAAGTTTCCTTACGATGAGAAAGTACTTGTTATGAATTCATTTTCAAAATCGCCGATTCATCGAAAAAGCGTGTTGGTGCATTGACTCTTGTACAAATACGAGTGACAACAGGGATCTTCCACTTGCTTTGAACAGTGTGTTTTTGCAACTCGGACACAATAGATTATTCGAATAATTATTCACAAAATAGTGCATTACCTGATGTGAATAATTCCAGGTGGGGTTTCTTTCGAATCGAGTATATTTGCTACATGTATTGCATCGTAACATTCGAGGATCAAGATCAATGTCCGCGGTTAAATTTTTAATTTTCCCATACTCAGTAGAAAATTGCAAGATTTGAAATCGTTCATAGGTTCATACTTCCAACAACTGAGAAATATGTAACTCATTACAAATCAATACAATTATTGAATATTTTTCATTTATTTTAACATAATAATCGTACTTGTTTACAATACGGGCGTCACCTCGAAATAAAATATTTTACTGTATTTTATTATATTTCAACTTGAAATACGTTAGAAATTTTCGACTAAATTACTAATTTATTATGTAGGATAAGTTAAAACGTAAGAATAATATGAAGTAGTACTTATTATTCATCGATGTTATACACATTTAGCAGGCGACTAATACTTCTTTATGGCCTTAAGGGCGCGATATCGAAACGTAACAAATCTAGGCTATGTGATTTGGTGCGTTCGGAGATTACCAGTAAACGTGTATTTGCTCGCGCATGTAAACTTACTGTCCAACCGCAGGATTACGACTATTCTTAGTCATAATCAATCGTTATCCAACCTTCTCGCTTTGCGAGCGTATTAAATAAGTGTGTCACTACCGTTCCCACGATCGAGCGTCTCTCGATGGTGGTTTTCGACGTAAAAAAGTGACATTCGTTATAATAACATGCTAATGCAGCGAGACCGACCGAAGGTCCTTCGACATCCGCCGGCGTCTTTTCTAGTCCGTTCGCGCGATCACTGTTCCGCGGGTTAGATCATCCACGTTAACCGTAACGGGAAAACAAAATTTCCATACAGACGTGAGTCAACCTGTTACGCTTTCCCACCGTTCTTTCCACACGAAGGCGACGCGTATCAATACAATTTCGTTCGAGTGAACCGAACACATTTCGCGGAATTTATCCCGTGTAAACAGCGCAAGAAATGTTTCCTTCGGGGATCTCTAGCCGATGTATTCGATTCAGAATCGTTACAGTGCAATGGCTTGGGACCATTAATTTAGAGAGAATGTCCAGTGAAAATGGACCAACAACTACACCGGGACCATTATTCTCGAAAACAAATCTCTGGTGAAAAGAACTACCACTAAAAAGAATTACTCTGTAACGGGTGTTACTTGAGACATAGACGATGGATTCGAATGAAGTTTACAAATGATATTGATGGTGAACTTAAGTATTGATTTTTTTAACTTTTATGGGAATTTATCATAATACGTGGAAATTACTTTAGCCGAGTGCTAGAACAGTGAAGAAAGTTCACATTAACGTCTGCTTAACTTAACCCTTTGACAGTCTAATAAAATTAGGAATTGCCGTTAAAAAACGGTATGTTTTTTTTATGTTTTATAAATGACTTTTATGCACGATAAAAAAATGTGAAATTGTAATTGAAAATGTAATCAATTGCGGATCGTCAATCGAAGTAAAACTGACGAAAGTAGAACACTATTTGTCGATTCGTTTATACTAATATTAGAACTGTCTAATCTAATGATCGATCCATTTGGAATACTAAAAATATTACTTCGTATAAAGAAAATAATATTTATATCTGAGAATTGTAACCATTCTAGTAGTGATTTTGATCAGTTAATTTGTTCAATTGTCTCAAACTATCCTGTTAGAAGTAAGTTAAAAATTATTTTAATAATACTTAGGGAAATACATTGAACGCTCTTTACAGAAGAATATTATTAATTGTTAGGCATCGAGATACTGTAATAAACAATACGTTCATTGAATGTTAGAAATAATTTGACAATATTCTGCATATTTGTTACGTTCCATTTCGTCCATTTTGTTTCCCCGAGACTAGAAAAAGTCTCAATTATAGAATTATTAATATTTACAGCCTTTCTCGATCCTTTAAAAGTTTCCACGAATTACGTGAAATTGAAATAGAACTTATAAATTCCATAAATGAAACAAGATTGCTCTGTGACAAAAGTGTTTGTGCATTATAGGTACTTCTGCACAATAGAATCTCTTTCGATCACTTACTTCGATCACTGGCGGCTGATGTCAGATCTTTGGCACTGTCTTCATACGTCGCGCTGTTCGCAGGCGTTAATTTGGTAATTAAGTTCGGTTCCGATGATTTGATGGCACCGCTGCTGAGTGCAAACAGGCAGACGAAGGAGAATATCTGAAACTAATTAATTGAATTTTATTATGAATAATTCTCAAAGCAACTTCATTGAATTAATCTCGATCCAAACATTAAATGAGCTAATGAACAATTAAATTGTGGCAAAAACTCGATTTCGACATAAACAATAAAGTACAACATTCTTTTGATAGTTTCAGTAAATCTAATTCAAATACATATTATCTGAATATTACATGAGAATTTTTTTAACTAACTGACATTTGTTCGTATTATTCATTAGATTATTTCCCGTGCGTATTCTACTATTAATTTAAAAAAAGAAGGTGAACGAGTGTACAATGAAAGTTGGTTAAACGAGACAACAAAAGGAAACCGCTATATCAAAGACAAATAGAGATTACATTTTTCTATATGCACCAGCGACAAATCTCGAGAGCTCGTCACTTTCACTTCCTTTGATTACAAATATTGGCAGATGACAATGGTGTGTCCCAAAGAAGGGAAACAGGATTATTTCATTTAGGTTATGTACACTGCAGTTCGCGCAACGGCGAAGATAAAAGAGGATATTCGATAAAAAGAAAAGTTCTAAACACAGAAAAATCTAAAAAAAAAATACGTAATCCATGTAAATCAAGAACGACCAATCCACTCAAAGATTCCAGATTATTTTTTTGTATATTTCGCACTATTGTGAAATCTGTCGATTACTATAAACGATTTCAAACTACTTATTTCATTTCGTATACCCACATTAAAAGGGTCATTCCCCAATATAACATGAAAAAGAAATATTTTTAAGAAACACAAATAAATTTATTAGGTGTACAAGTAGTCCACTATTTTTTGTGAAATTTTGTATTTGTTTCGAAACAATTCAAATAGCAATTAGATTCCTTATTTGTTCCCAACATCCTCTGCCATTTTAGCTAAACAGAAGATATCAGAAAGGTATTCTGAATTTAAGCTGTATGTATATCCAATAGATCGTGCCTTAGAACTTTCCTGTCGGTTTCAAGGTACACGAAAAGCTTTCTGTACATAACGTACGTAGTTTAATATCTATACAAAATTGACTTTGGACTCGTTGAATGTTACATTGAAACGATAACATCCCCCAGCGTACACGAATGTCCGTCGATTTGAATGGCGAAGGTTTTCTCGTAGTTCAAGCTTACCGCCTAACGAGAAACTTAAAAAGTTCGCAAGGTAATGTTGAATTCACGTTATTTCAAAGCTCGATCGACCAGCAATTCCACGAGAAAGATTTCACGGAATACCTATTAAATTTTCAATGTCAATTTCCGCGGAATTTGTTTAGACTGTTCTTCGGTAACAAATACCTCTGTCGCCCTGTCAATTTCGAGAAATATATTTTCCCTGAATGGTTCCACGCACATAACAAATCTGATGTATCGTTTGAAGTATGCACAATCATTTGCAGGTTTGACAACGGCACCATTATTTTACATGAACATATATTCCTCAGAATTTTCCGTTTTAACGTTCGAGTTTGTATCCACGTCAAGAAGGCGGCCCCCGCCTTAGGCGGGTACTCACCTGTCATTGTTATAAAATGGAGAAATTCTACGTCCTCTTAGTTCAAGCACTACGACTGAATATAAGCTAAGCTAAACGAATACGAAGAACAAAGGTGACATTAATAAGTTAATAATAAATTTGCAATATTTGAAAATTTCTTAAATAGAATTTAAATAAAGGCTTAATAGAGACTTCCTTGAATAACGAATTACGACTGATATTCTATCAAATTGAAATGTATAGTAGGTCGTGAATCCAGAAAAATGTTTCATTTCGCTTCCACCGAATAAAAACTGTCATAAAATGGGAAAGACATTCATTATATCAACAGGCTGCTCATTTCTCACTCTCTGTCGTTCACTTCGTTTCATGTAACTATTTTACACGACGTGAATATAATGTTCCCATCCACAATTTCATAAAAATTCTATGAAACCTGTCAGCTTTTTCATTTGGAATAATAATTTATTATGACATGAAGATAGAAAAATTGTTACTACCATTTTTTTTAAATATCAAACTTTTACGTTGTTACTGTCGACAATTAAGGTATGTATATCGAAGCCCTTATTATTTATTTAACTTCAATCACCTGATTTAGTAATTTATACAAAATTATTGTTTGGTATTAATTTACTACTGCACTCCCAGACCTAAAGTCCAAAAAGACAAATTTTCAATTTTTGTTTGTTAAGATATTACAGTTTATCGTAAAGCAACAAAGACACCATTTAAATAATTATATGTAATTAATAAATAACTACAGTTATATTTGTATTACAGTTTAAAATAGTCGTTGCAAAGCTCAATTCTGCTTTACGAAATAAAGGAAAAATAGAAATCATTTGCATGTCGAAATTGGTTCACCTCACCATTTTACAAACGAAACAATTGTGTTCTTCGAAAAGGACACGTGTGGATTGAATAGCTATACGAAAACAGGTTGCTGAATGGAATAGAAGCTATTACGTTGTCGCATACGAAATGGCCAATTTTTGGGTCATGTATATTTCAACATACACTTGTAAATGAAAATTGTTAACTACGAATTCTATTTCTATATTAAACTCAAGCACACGCTCCCATTGCCTTCTATTTATTATGTTACATGTTCTTCAAATTACTGAACGTTGTAGAAATTTCAATATTTGAAAATTAATTCAAATAGGCAATGACCTGAATCGAATAAACATGATTTACCTCTTCGAAACACAGGAATTTTAAATTAAACAGATAATTGATCTTCTGACAAATTACTTTTTTTTCTCAGCAACCTATACCTCTGATAAACAAAAGGAATAGGCAGTCGAAATAGTAGTACCAAGAGTGGCAGATAAACCATTTGACGTACTGGTACGGTTACGGTCGTCAGTGGGTGAACAGATCCAACAAAATACGTTCCGAATCCCTTAACACGTCAAGTTTCATATCAGTCACATATGACGAATCGGTATGAAATGTAAAAAAATAATACCTCGTTCCCCAAAACTACAACGATACTCATATTTCTAGCACTTTCCTTCCCGAATCAGCATTTCCTTCATAAAGTTTCATTGCAAAATCATCCGACATCTCTAAACAATCCATTGCATCGCTCAATTGGACGTATCACGTGGCGTCAAACAGAAAGTTCATCAAAATCAACATCACACTCAACGTGTGTTAAACAATTTACCAACCATTCATCCAACTCATTTTATATTACAGAAACACCCTGGCAAAATTGAGCATATTTTATTTGAAATAAAATAACAAATGATCATTTGAAATAATGAATTATCTCAAATTATAATAGTTTATTATTTTTATTTTACAGATAACATAAGAAAAATAATTACTTGGTATTTTATTCAAATAATTTTTTAATCGAATAATTTTTTATCGCAGTTACTTCACTCAAATAAAATAACAAATAATTTGATATAAGAGGTTATTGAACCGATGGAATTAAACTTAGAATACGGGAATTTTTATAGTTTAACCAAATTTGATTTAAAAATACACTGACGATAGAAATCTGTATTTCGAACTCAGTTGACGATGCTGATGCGATACAATTCGAGGGTATTCGAGAAATTCTTTTTCTATTTGAGATCCACAATAACAAAACAATCTAAAGAAAAGCCATTTGTCTGTTCAATTAAACTAACACATGACTATTTCAAATAGCATTCAGCCAGATAAGATAATGTATTACCTGAACGATTATTTTTCAAATAGTTTAGTTAAATAATGCCCAAGCCTGCGTCCTAATACAGTAAACTAACGGTCATATACGACTGAAACAACTATTATTGGCTTCAGAATACCAAGCTATATCACCTTGCTGAACTTCATTAAAAAGTAATTGTTACACCTGAAGACCTCTCCTTGTCAATGCAGGAGCCTTCGAACACTCATCGAGAGTTTACTGTATATAAAGCATTATTAAGCGTTCACGATTAAAACATAGAATAATATATGTTTGTTGCCCTTCAACTGAATTTATTAGAATGAAAAAGACGCAGTATACAATGCGATTAAGTTTCAATTACGACTCCCTCGAAAGATCGAAGAAAACTCCCTCGAAGATTTATTGTACTCACGAACGGGAGTATATAACAAAAAAAAAAAACGACGAAAACTTAATTCAACAACTCCAACCCTCATTTTCCATCGACAAACCCACGAAAGTCCCATTGAATCACGAATCCACAAAATGAGAAACGGTTCGGATTCCCAGAACGACGGAAGACCATCGTTCCGTTGAGAGCGCGTGAAACGAATCCAGAGGAAATGAAAGGACTCCATTTAGGCTCCGACCAAGTACACTTTATCCGAATAGAACGGTCTGGATTCAAGGAAAGGGGGTGGAAAGCGTCCACCCCCCGTGCCACGGTCTACTCACCGGTTGAAGTGGTTGCATTCTTCTCGGTCTGCAGCTACAGAATTACCCACGAAAAATAAAAAAAAAAAAGCACAAACGGTTCGCCAGGTCGGTGGCGATCTGCTCGCCGGAACACGGATCGAAACCTCTATATACCGTTTCGACTGCGTCGCCCCTCCTCGTCGTCGTATTCTTCGTTCGCGACGTGTGTTTGCTGAAGCTCGGGAGACGAGACGTTGACAAGGCCGCGGATGAGAATCGGCCCGACTCGCGTTCCGCGTGACACGCCTCTGCCGCGATCGGCGGTCCCCGCCTATGGGAAATCGCAGTTTCTTCGTGAAACCGTTCGGGTCGACACGCGTCCAACAAACCAGAGAGAAAGAGAGAGAGAGACACACACACACAACACGTTCGTGATATCCTTCGATTTTACGCGACGTCATCGCTCGAGGACGGGAAATTGACTTCGAACTGGCTCAAGATCGGATGACCGACGAGCTTCGGGGAACAGACGGACGCCCGACGACGATTTGTTAATGATACCGTTTCCTTGTTTTTTCTTTTTTTTTTTTAATATCGGGTCGAGGCTGTCCCTCGAATCGTTCGGACGACACGGCGGTAAACGTGTTGATAGGTGTTGTTGGAACGAAGGAGAAATTGGAAGAATCACCTTTGGTGAACTCAAGACCGGATTAAAATTCTTTCTGGCCTGAGGCTATCAAACTTTCGGGGGGCCCTCAATTGAAGGGAGAGGGGAAGATTTTTTTAATAAAACGTACACTAAAGTACATGCATCTTCAATAATTGAAATTTATTCTATGTAAGATTAAATAATCATTTAATCATACAGAACGCTTGATTATAAGATTTCAAGATCTCCGCATCTTCGGAATCTTTCGGGACTTCGAACTTTCTGAGCCTTTCAAAAAATTGGAAGTCTTCTGGGACCCTGTAAACTATTTCGGATTTTTCTGGACATCCGATGCTCTTGACTCTACAGGGTCCCCTATGATCGAGCAAACACCGAAGAGAACGGAAATCTTCTGAGAATCAGTGATCCCGCAAATCCTTCGAGTCTGCCGGAATCCGTTTTCATCTCCAGATTTCTTGCGACCGCTTTGGTTATTCAAGATTCTCGAGGTTTAACAGATATTCTAGGTTCCCCGAGAAACCAGCGTGCCCTCTGGGATTTTCGGAACACCTGAAGATTCTCAACCCCGCTGGATCCGAAGGATTTCCAATATCCTCCAAGGCGAACGAAATTTACGACACTTTCCATAACTAAAACTCTCATAATCTCCCAAATATCGCACGAGCTGCGGAAGTTATTATCAGAGTAACAGCCAATTGGTTTGTGAGTATTCTGTGACGCCCGAAAGCCCTGAATCTCCTAGGATCTCTGGGATCCTCCTGAATTCAGCTGTCCTGAATTTCTTCCTGATCTTTCTTTTCCCAAAATCTTCGATATACTGATTCCACTGGAAGCTGCAAACATAAATTAAGGTTCTAGATGTCATGGTAACTGGACTGCGGATTTTATACATAAAAAATTATTCAGTAACAGTGTCTTAGAATTCGATCACTTTTTTGGCGTTCAAGGTCATCTGAAGGTCACAGCCCAGATAGGCTTGAATGCGTTTTTTAATTTGCTACGAGATACACTGGAGAAAAATAGAAGTTTTCTTGCAAAAAAATATCGGTGACCATGAAAAAACACGGGAAAAAATGACCTTAAGAATATCTTTTCTCTTTCACGTTATTCCTCTTTCGAAATCATTCAAACTGTGCTTCACATATTTCTCGTATTAGTAAAATTAAAGGAGGTATTTAAGTAGCCTCTCCTTTAGTTGAGAAAACAAGGACTTTGCATAACGATAACAAATATTTCGAAAATACATTCTTTTTTTAACGGAAAACATGGAACCCTTGAAAAGGCAAAACCCCTGCAATATAATAGGGAAGAATTTACATTGTCTCGTTTAAAAAAACTTAAAATAACGTTGGGTCCATTATGAAAAAAATTTATTTTCGAAATGTTACCGTGATGTGTTGTCCATTCAAAATTGGTCAAGAATCTTTTTTATAAGACTGTCGGAAACGACCGAAAAATCATGTAGACAATTGGAGTGAACACGCATACATTCATTCGCAACGAACGCTGTTTTTTTTTTTAATGTTAGTGACGAATTAACTCGTTCTGCCCAACGAAGAAGCATTTCCGAGTGACGAGTCGCTTCGTCTTATTGTGATTCCATTTTCCGTAATTTTTTCATTTTTAAAAATTGTCCATTTTTAATGGTAGATCATTAGGATGAACAAAATTTGTCGAGTAAAGATATTGAGAAAAAATAAAATATATAGAACACATCGTCGACTGTGTCCTTGAGGGTTAAATTGAAGCCGCCTTATCGAACACGTCTAACAACTTCCGAAACATGTGTACCGGTATTATTGAGTCTCAGGGGTTTAAACTTGATTTGTGTAAGTTGTATTCGACAGTAACGGATATCCTAGGTGATCCATGCTTTAACAGTAACTGGTACACTATATCTCTGTATTTGACAATAGCTGATACCCTATTTAGGTTCTCTAGCCGTATCTTTCCTTGTTACTATTCCAACGGTTGGGTCCTGATCAAACAAAGTCCTAGTTACATCAATGGAACTCTCACTATCCTCCATTTAATAATCTTCCTTCGCATGATAAACAAGATAATAATTCGTTATTAAACTTCCTTTGGACGAGAGAGCAAATTAAAATTCCAGAAAATTTTCTCAATTTAACTTCATCCGTTCCCCGTAAAATGAGTTTTCGTTTCAGGAATAAATTGGACGACGAGGTCTGGAGTTAAACAAACGAACAAGTTTCTTCTTTCGTATTTTCCTATTAACGATAAAGCAGAAAATGTTGGCTGATCTTCGTAATCGCGATTGTATACTCCCGAGGAAATATTTTCGGTACTTTCCGTGAATACATTTCGTTCCCGCCGTGGAAGCAGCGCGGGGTTAAACAAACGAAGGTTCAAAACGCGCAATCGGAAATCCGATTAGATTCTGAGAACACACAACCTCGGGGGTCTCTTTCATCCCAGAAAACGAAACGTAAAAGAGAAATCCTCGCCAGTGTTGTACGTGAACAACGAGCTTCAACTCTGTAAAAACAATCGGGACTGGTATCTGTCTTTCCTTTGCACCGTTAAATTCATCACGGAGCAGTAAATAAAGTCAATGAAAATTGTTAACCCACTGATGACCGTGCGGGGTTTTAAATTTCTCGCATGGATATCGCTGTGATTTAATTAAATAGTTATAAACAGGTTATTTCATAATGTAACAATGAGAAATACTTACCCGATGACAAGAAATTATTCATATTTTTCTGAATGTACATCGTAATCTTTGTTAATCGTAATTTTTATGAATCCACACCGAGATATCGTGAACAATTTGCCAGGCTGCACGAATACTGAAACAAACATTTTTTTAATTTACTAGAATGCATAATAAAGAAATGATAGGAAGATTTGATACCATATCTTCTTGCTTTCTTAAAAAAAACACTTCCTAAATATCACCTATTTTTCGAGCCGCTAAAGGGGAAGGGTGCTTTAACACGAAAATTAAAGGAATTTATATTAATGGGAATTCTGATCGCTAATTTTTAATTAATACAACACACACACTCAATTTATGGGTGGTGGATGAAAGTGCAGGGTACAACTGTATAATAACCGTGATTAATTTATTATGTAAATAGTTCTGAAACTGCATATTAAGTTCCTACCACGGAACTTGTTCTTTCTACAGATTGAATTACTTCGTGGCATATTTAAAATTTAAATCCGACAGATGCTGTAGCATTGCCTAACTAATTGTCATTTTCAAGAAATCATTTCGATCTTCTAGCTTGAACTGTTGTTATGCGAACGGCTGTTTAAAGAACACATTTGAGTATTGATTTGCATATTTAACCGAATTTGTTACCGGTATCGCGATAATCTGGATACTCGCAGAATATTTCGAGTTCGATATTACGAAATGGTCAGGGTAGTCGCGTAGAAATTTCAATGATTCAAAACGGACATTTGCGTTTCGGAAATTCAATCTTCGTGCTCGTTCTGCGGTCTGTCGTATTTTCGGTGGAATTATTAGTGTACGGTTGACTCCGCCGCACACGTTGAAATGTTCCTCGTCCACACTACGCATGGGGAAAATTGCTTCGACCATCAGAAGGAACGGACGTAACGTGTTGGGATGAAAAATTACAGAAATTTCGAGAATGAATTATGGTCAGTCCTTTAGTTACGTTATTGAAAATACAAGATTCAGTACCAACGTGTTAATAACGTCGCATTGAACAGGAAAAATTATCGAATTTATGCTACTTTGATCTATTATTTCTTCAAAAAAAAATATTCGATTCTGAATTGCATAAAAAAATTGTTCGAAATTAATTTTGATTTTCTGTAACATATTTAACCTAGTTTGATATGTTTTTCGTTAAAAAAAGAATTTCGAGCTTCAATTTTCGATTGCTACCAAAAACCAAATTGTCTCCCTTCAATTTTGACCTACTTTTAGTGGATGATACTGTATCGGCCTCTACTACTACTCACAAAAGATTAGATATGGACATTCAAATATTTCAGAGACACAATTTAATTAAAAGTTATTACAAACATGGTGATCATCCAAATATATGTTCAGTGATTCACACATTCGTTCATATATTTTTTATTTGGCAATTGTATAAGTGTTAAAATTTTTATGCAATTTCCTGCTGATAATTTTAATTTATTTGATACATTTTTCTTAATTTTGAAACAACATTCACATTTTGGTAAACTTCTGTGAAGAAATTTATGAGTCTCACCAGTCATTGAATAAATTTAATTGAAGTCAGGTTCTCGATCGCATTAGAATAGATTACGAGAGAACATTTTAAAGTATTTATATCTTCAGAATGATCTACACCTAGTATTTTACAATAATGGTCGATACAAAATACAGTCCAGCAATAATTCGTTCAGGTAGAAGGAGCACAAATTGGGCAATTAAATGGGAAAAAGTGGACAATTAAATGGGACTGAACGGGTAATTAAATGGGACA